CCATAATTAAACCCAACCTCCCGGAAGTCAATAAAGCTCAATCAAATCAAAACAAGTAAACTCAAAAACCTCCCATATACAAAAGCCAAAAGAAAAGGCATATACCCTTCAAAAGACTTATCTCCCATCTTTCCAAAGCCAATTAGGCAGACCACCCAAAAACCCCTTACCCTATGCAATCCCCACACCCTTCCTTCCAATCCTTCATCTATAGGAATCACGACTGTTTTTTTCTTCTTCATAACTTTTCTTGTCTTCCTTACCCTTTTATTTATGCCAACCCCAAATAAATCTCCCCTCAATCTAGCAAATACTGTTGAAACTGTCACAGTTCAATTCTTATTTTGGTGCTTAAATCTCTTAACTACAATAAGGACTATCTTATCAATCTTCTTCTTCCCCTCAGTTTCGTTAATCCTTTCTAGTTCTATGATGGCATTCTTCTCAAACATTTTTTATGCTGGCAAGTCCACACCCTTCTCCCCTTCCACAACCGAACCTCTAAATCCTTCTCAAACATTTTTTATGCCAACCCCAAAAAGCATTCCCTGCAAACTCCCCTCCACCCAAGAAAAAAAGGCCAATTTTATACTTATCTCCAATTCCTTGTTGATGATTGTATTTACATCGGATTTTTTTTCCAACCTCATGTATTTCATCCATCAAAGTCTCGCCTTCTGCATCATCTCCTAAGTCGTTGTCAATAGTTAGCGTACCATAACCTCTTTTCCTATGGTAAATCTTTGTTTCTTCACTCCCAACACATTTTCTCTCTCCCTAACATCCACTTCATCATTAATCTCACCCACGTCCTGCTTCTTCCCCATTTTATCCTCCACTTCATCCTTTTTTTTTTTTTTTGAGAAAAGGCAATGTAACAACATTACATATCCTCCGCTGTACTTGTACAAAGTACAAAGGCTCCCCAACTAAACACTTTAGAAGGGGAAATAGCCCAAACATAACAGCATTACATATCCTCCGCTTCATCTTCGTTTACACCCTTTCTAAAATTTCTCGTCTTCTCATCCTTATTCTTTCCAACCAAGCTCTCCATACCAACATCCTCTCCACCTGCAGCCCCCTTGCCAAACATTTTTATTGGTTCAGGTTTTGAAGTCTTTAAGGGTTCAATACAGCAGTTAGCAATGTTTATGTTGATTAAACCCTAACAAATAAGAAAATAATAAAAAGAAATTAGTATATAAACACACAAAATGAATATTTTAGTTTAATAACGCCAATTTTATAATTATCATCTCAAAGAGTTAAGAATACAAAAGTATTTTATAACACAACATACAAAACTGCTTGGCGATTAGGCTATTTAACATTTAAAAAATAAAGTTTTGGGAAAAGCCTTGAAAAAGGTGTATCAGCTACCTGCTGATACAGGTGTAATGTGTTACTTTAAACCTTGTAGGAGGTTCTCCCCAAGCTAGATGTCTCCCTTCTTAGGATAGTGGAAAGAAAACCATTGGCAATTCTAACTTTGTCTTGCCCAGAAGAAAGCTGATAAGATGAAAACAAGGATAATGTGTTCATCATATGCTCATAAGTTCTTGAGTTGAAAACCCAAGAGCATCTAGATGGGGACGGAATAGTACCGTTGGCAATTCTAACCTTGTCTTGCCCAAAAGGAAGCTGATAAGATGAAAACAAGGATGATGTGTTCGTCATATGCTCATAAGCTCTAGAGTTGATAACCCAAGAGCATCTAGATGGGGACGGAATAGCACTAAGTGTACAAGCTGTACCTATCTTGCAAAGGAAGAGGAGGAAATGGAGGAAAGTTTCAATTGTGCTATAACCCAACTAAGAATTACCTCTTCGGTTGTGAATTCAGGAAAATGACTAGAGAGAGAAGTGGTCAGTCCCAATAGAGAAGAACCAATGTGATTGCTCTTTTGGGCATTATCTTCAACATTTGAGTTTAGAATATATCCTAATGTATTTGGACCCTTGCAGGACTTCTTATCTTTTCTCAGGGCTGCTGTTTAAGTTGTGGGGTGTAAAATCCAGCATGTATCCATGGTGTACTTTTCCCTTCCACAGTGAGAACACTTGAAATTCTTCTTATCCAACATCACATTAGTAATCTATAGGCTGGACAGATTTGGATTCTCAATGTTCGCACCCCCATCACCAGTTCAAAAACCCCTAGAAGTTACCTCACTATTGTTGGGAGATAGTTGAACCTCTAGTCCCTTGAAACTCACTTAAAGGAAGCAGAAACAAGAAGTACCTTTTGGTTTGAGTACTAGGAGAACACTACCATCACACAACAGGAGAGGTAAAACTCCAGAAACACCTGGGCTGCAACTTCCTACAATCTAGAATTGATTGCAGTCACTTGGACAGCAGCTCTCTCCTCTTGAACCAAAGTGCTTTCACAGTCTAGCTTCTAAACTTGCAATAAATCAGGTCTCCCTAGTAGTCAATTGACAGCTTAGGGTCTCCTTGGCCTTAAATCTCATGGTAGAACCCTAGAAAATGAAAGAAAAATCTGGAGAATTATGACCAGAACTACGGTTTTAGAAAAAATAGCTGCTGAAATTAAGAAAGTAAAGGAAGAAGATGAAAAGAAGAGAAGAAAGGTGAAATGAACGGGTTCTAATACAGTTTCAGGTGTTCTGATATCATGAAGATCATTAGCCCAACATTAGAAAAGGAAGAAGAAGAGAAGTGAAAATAAGGGGTGGCAGATTCTCTTCTTACCAGCCCTACATGTTATCTTTTATATTAGAGACTAATGAAACATGAGATTACAACACTGCTCCTGATTAGGTGGCAGCAATAAGAAAGAACTTAAAACAATTGTAGGCCCAGGTCCACTCAGCCCAAATGCAGGAAATAAAAGGAATGACAATGTAGGCTGTTGAAGGCATTTTTTTAATCCAAATAATATTTAAATAAATTAGAACTCAAATAAGTGGGTTGGATAGTCTGCTAGCCAAATCATTAAAACTATAAAAAAGTATCCCGTATGGGAGTTCCCTCTCTTTAAGTGGGGAGTTTCCTCTCTTTAAGTGAGGAGTTCCCCCTCTTTAAGTGGGAGGGACAGGTGTCCTTCACCTAGGAGGAGGAGGTAGTTACATAACTACCTCACTCCCTATTTAAGCTTCTTAAGGGGAAGTTAGAAGCACGGACAGAGAGACACTCTTTGGAGAAAATTGTCACAAGAGATTCCTAAAAAAAGCACAGAAAAAGAGAGAAGAAAAGAGAAGTGCTCGAGGGAAGGCAGGGAAGGAAAAGTCTGACTAATACAGGTAGAAGAAAGGAAAGTCCTTTCTGTGAATACTTTCTATATATGTCTTCTGCTATGTATCCTTCTTTCTCTCTCTTTTATTTTCACTTTTGAGAAAGGAAATAGAGGGAAATAAACCATCTACACTATGGTCCCTCTTTTAAGACAATGTTAGGGATTAAACCATCTACAGTCTAATTCTCGAAGACTGATTATGGTTCCCTTCAAATGAAAATGAAGAGTAGAGGGAAATAAACCATCTACAACCAGGTGCCTCTACTTGGTTGATTATGGTCCCTCTTTCAAGACAGTTAGGGATTAAACCATCTTCAGTCTAATTATCGAAGGCTGATTATGGTTCCCTTCAAATGAAAATGAAGAGAAGAGGGATGAAAATCGTCTACAATCAAATATTCAGTTTGATTGACTATGGTTCCCTTTTTGTATGCAAAAATCCAAGGATTAAGGCTGTCTACAATCAGAATTTCATCTGATTGACTACAACTTATTGTGAAGAAAGGAGTGAGAAGGAAATTTTCTTTGTATTAAAAAGAAAAGAGAAATGTATTGCTGTATAGTTTCTCAATTGTATTTTCTTTTTCTTTCTTCTCATTSTTGTACACTTGATGTAAAAGAAAAGCAAATGAAAAGTTCTTTTAAGTACCCTATTGTTGTTTTCTTTTGTTCTATGCATTCATTTTTCCAAGTCAGAAACAAAAGGTGTTCTCTACTTTCTTGTGGAGATGTAATTTAGGGGAACAATCCGTATGATTCCCTGAATGGGCCTTACCCAAAATAATAAAAACTCAATCACTTGATTGAGTGAATTATGTTGCATGAGAATTTATTAAAATTTTCACACCAACATAGGCCCACGATTATAACTTAAGCCCATAAACTTAATGTCCCACAACAAGAATAACAGATCATGCTATTAAAATTTATGACCTGTTGGCTCACCTCAACAGATTAAAGTATATTTCTAGGGATTATATCACTTATTAGGTAGATAAAGTTATTGGGTGATGGATACAGGTATCTGCATCTTCTCCAGAAAAAGTACCATTATTTTAATGGTGTCCCTGGTTGTTCTAACGGTGAAGCAGGAAAAGGAGACAACTATACAGATGAAAGAGATAGTAGGAAATGAATATTGAGCTAGCTCAATGTGGTAATCATGTAAGTTAGGCGGCCAATGACATTTTTACTCCACATATCTAAAATGCTATAACCAACTTATGTTATAGGACTATCTCTTGTTCTCCATATAGTGTCGGTAGTGTTCATTGGGGAATATGTATGTCATGGAAACTATCTCTTGTACTCCACATAGTGTTGGTAGTGTTCATTGGGGAATATGTCGATTCCGGTAAAATTTCGTGTCACTACCCATGGAAATGGAAATATGTTGTGGAAATATTAGGGAAATTAGGGACATTTTAAACCATGATCCAAAGTGCATGCTGGCATTCTCTTAAAATTGTCTTTCCGATACACCTTGCATTTCCAATACTTTGAACCTAGGTAGGAACTTACAGCTTTCACTGTAATGCATGCATCTTGTCCATTGAAAAGGTAAAGAATGCTTCTATTTAACTTAAATGTGTCAAGAACCACAGGTATGACTATGATGCCCACAAAGAGTGAGCAACTATACAGTGGTACAAGAATCCCTGTGATATGTATGTACAGAACAACTCATCTTTGCACCAAATAAATAAATCATGATTAATGAGGAATAGAAAGTAACTACCTGACCATTTCCAGAACGTTGCATCTCTTCCTTCAGTTTTTGTTCAGCCACCTATGATTAGAAATGAAAAAAAAAAGATTAGCTCATATGAAAAACGAGGACAGTGTGGGTGTGGGTGCGTGTGTGAGAGAGAGAGAGAGAGCAAAAACAGTGACATGGACTGTGTGTGTGTATGATTAAAACAATAGGGGAACTGTGTGTGTGTATGATTAAAACAATAGGGGAAGGAACATAGACAAACCCGGATATTTTCTCTTATGGAATCACTGTTTGGATCCAACTGTAAGGCTGCATACATGAGATGTCAAATCAAGAACTAAGTAGCATTCAACTATTATAACAAAGTATGGTAATGGCAAGATAATGATATTTCCAACAAAATCAGTAGTTCAATAGAAAATGTTTCAGAGAGATTTGCTACTTAGAAAGTATATAAGATTCATCTACAAGTTTAGATTGAAGTCTGGTGTTTTTTTTTGAAGAAAAGGTAAGGTATCACATTATATTTTAACACTGTAAAAGATAATGTTTACATGTAAAGACCAAGTATATACAACCAGTAACTATACATCTAGAAGTAGAGCCACTAAAACCAAGGCACTCCATACAAAAACAGATGAAAAAAATTTTACTCCATATCAGATCTGTGTATCAACTGAATAGGATATTATATTAAAAAAACTGGTAGTGTGGAATTTTCCTGAACAGGTCATTGGCTTATAACCAAGCGTGTAGAGTACCCACAGCCTGGATTACCACATCCTCCACAGTTTCTTTCCTTCCTATGACCCAACTGACCGCTAGGGAATTATACTCCATAGAATCTTTCCCTTATGGTTTAACCCCACCAACGTCCAAGGACTCAGCAGGTCAAATAGGCCCCTCAGCTGACACCAACTGACATTGAACAGCTCACAGAAGTGATAGCAATCCTGCTGTAGAGAGGCTGGGCCAAATGGGCCCTAATCTTCCTTTTTTTGCTTATACTTTAGTTGTAGTTGTAGCTGTCTTTTATGTTAATGGGCCTGTTAACTTTTCTTTTATGTTTTTATGAGCTGGCTGACCTATTAAAGGCATCACTGTAATTATACTATTTTTTCCTCATTAGAATTAATAAAAGTGATTAGGGGACTGGAGAGAGGTCAATGGACTCTCTTCTCCAACCTTTCTTGTCTCGCCATCTCCTTATGGTTCAGCACTTTTCTCTCTCTCTATTTTCAGATTAAATCTTTAGTCTTGCAGGGTTATTTCTCTTATCCTGCAATGCACGAACAGGTGGTACACTGACTCTTCACTCCAGGCACACATCACACATTCCAAAGACTCCAGTACCAGTACCAAACACCCCCCNCCCCCCCCCCCACCCTTGTTAGCCAGTCCCTTAGTAAGGCATTTCCCTCTTACAGTAGGTCACACTATGAAACCAACCATAGTTGGGATGTGTATTCTAGTTTATATAGAGCAATACTTCTCACATAAAATTGCAATCTAGCCAATTTCAGGCTATGATACCACTAGGGGTGCTCATAGTTCGGTTACCGAACCGTGGGGCATTTTTTGGAATCGAACTGGTACTACTGGTTTTTGGAAAACCGGTAACCAGAACCAAACTGAAGCCATTTGGTTAACCGATTGACCAGTTCGGTTAACCGTCGGTTCGATTATAAATAAAAATATTATAAATATTTAATTTTTACAATATATATTATAAAAATATAATAAAAAATTATAAATATATATAAAATATTATATTTTAAATAATAAATATAATATAATATATTATAAATATATATTTATAAATAATGCATATTTATTAAATTATAATTTATAAAAAAATATAAAATATATATAATATATATATAATATACATAAATACATATAAAAATATATAGAAATATATGTATACTGGTCGGTTCAATTAATCGTCGGTTTTCTATATTGGTTAATTGAAACCGAACCGGTACCTTTGGTTTTTAAAAACACCGAAATGATCGGTTCGGTTAACCAATTTTTCGGTTTGGTTTCGGTCGGTTTTTCCGATCAATTCGGTTTTTTGGTTTTTTTGCTCACCTCTAGATACCAGGGCTTTGCATATAGGCTCTTTACCATTTCTTTGGAAAATATGATTCCTTATTACAATTTGGCTATTAAAAAAAGTTACAGACTATACCACACTATACATTAGGTGGAATTTTTTTCCAACCGGTGCTTTGAACAAGTGTATGGGCTTTTGATAAGATCACTTCGATATTCTGAAAACCTGAGTTGGTTCGAGGGGGTTCACCCTCCTGAAAACAGAGTATAGTAGAGGAGAGGAAGAAGAGAGGAGGAGAGATGGAGGAGATCATTAGGGTTTCATTTTTCATGCCCAGAATCGGTGAGGTAATACAATACTTATACTCTCTCTTCAGCCTCTCCTGCACATGGCTTGACTGAGACGGCT